AGAAGAAGAAGAAGAAGAAGAAGAAGAAGAAGAAGAAGAAGAAGAAAAGAGAGAGAGAAAAAAAAGACTGGCATTGTCCAGTCCAAAGGATGCCAAAAACTGCCCAGCGGCAAATGAGAAACTTTTGGCTCCCAAAGAATGAGCTAGCTTGTTTGTTCCTTCCATGCAGCTGCTTCTTTCCCTTCCCTTCCTCCCTCCCCTTTCCCCCCGTTTTTTTTTTCTTTTTTTGGGTGGTTTATTACACACAAAAGCTTTAATGAATGGGAGCCGCTGTTTCACAGTGCACCCCACTTACAGGACAGCTCTCCGAGCCCACCACAGATCTGAGTCATCAGCAGCAGGGCTCCACCATCAAGAAATGCTTCCTAGAAACCGGGAGGATATAAAAAGAGGTTTGTTGGGAGCTGGCTGGGCCTGCTGAGTTTTCTGCCTGCGGGGCCTGTTGATGCCATAGCTGGCTGCTCGGGTCTTTGGCCTAATAAGGCAACAGAAACAAAGATTGTTCGCTGGTTGGAGAAGACAACTGTGCCCAGGTTCTCTGGGGGGGGAAGCGCAGTGGCGCACGGCACCCGTCCAAGCGGGATTAAGGCTGGGAGGGCAACTTGGGGAGGGGGGGCAGCTGGAGGGCAGCGAGGGCTCCTCCAGTGTGGAAGGAGCCAATTCAGACATAATTTACGATCTGTCACTCCTCGTTAGAAGCAGCTGCCATTAAGAGTTAATTGTTGCATTGTGTGCTGCGTGGACTGATAAGATTTCTGTAAGCTGCTTACATGTTATCGGACATGTTATCATAACTTGGGACTAACGAGGAGAGAGAGAGAAAGAGAGAGAGAGTAAAAGGAAAGTGTTTACTAACAAGGTGGCTGTTTGTAGTGAATGGGGTCCCTGCCACTGGTGCAGCTCAGAGCCAGCTGAGATCCAGCTTCCTTCTTTTTTTTTTTTCTTGGATTATTATTGATTAGAATGTTTTTTTTATCCTGCCTTTATTACTTTTATAAGTAACTCAAGGCAGCACACATACATCATACTCCTTCCTCCATCTATTTTCCCCACAACAACAATCCTGTGAGGTAGGTTGGGTTGAGAGAGAGAATAATTAGCCCGAAGTCACCCAGCCAACTTTCATGCCAAAGGCAGGACTAGAACTCATACATTCCTGATGATTGGCCAGCCAGTTTTCATGCTAGTATGACAGGGCTAGAATTCACACGCTCCCAGTGACTAGCCCAAAGTCACCCAGTCAATTTTCATGCCTAAAACGGAATTAGAATTCACAGTCTCCTGGTGATTGGCCCAAAGTCACCCAAACAACTTCCATTGCCTAAAGTGGAACTAGAATTCACAGTCTCCTGGTGATTGGCCTAAAGTCACCCAATTAGTTTTTATGCCTAAGGCGGAACTAGAACTCACAGTCTCCTGGTGATTGGCCCAAAGTCACCCAAACAACTTCCATGCCTAAAGTGGAACTAGAATTCACAGTCTCCTGGTGATGGCCTAAAGTCACCCAATTAGTTTTTATGCCTAAGGCGGAACTAGAGCTCACAGCGTCCTGGTGATTGGCCCAAAAGTCACGCAAACGACTTCCATGCCTAACCGCAGAACCAGAACTCAAAGTCTCCTGTTGATTGGCCCAAAGTCACCTGACCAACTTTCACGCCTAAGGTGGGACTAGAACTCACAATCTCCTGGTGATTGGCCCAAAGTTACCCGACCAACTTTCATGCCTAAAGTGGGACTAGAACTCACGGTCTCCTGGTTTCTTAGGGCAGCACCTTAACCACTATACCAAACTGGCTCTTTTTAAGGTAAGGTTTAGATTTAGCCTTGCTCCCTCAGGTTCAATTCTGTACTTTCTGTCCAGAGATCGGCAATCACTCTTAAGACCATCCCACTTAAGAGTGCTGGAGGTAATATATACATCAAGCATGATGTAAAAACTAAACCGTCCTCCTTTTCTGCACATGCATTTTTGGCACTTTCTCCAAAGAACTGTGTTATTTTAATTCTCCCGTTTTTCATCTCACAATTACCCACTAAGCAGGGTGGGTGGGGGGAGACCCTCCACCCCCTTACGACCTGCCACCCTGGCTTTCAGAGATACAGCAAAATGTCTTCTCCGGCACCGCACACACATACAATCCTTCTGACAGATGATGGCAGACGAGGCTTCTCCCACCCCAGAATGGGGTAACCTGTTTGCTCATGGCATGTTGTTCCGCGATCATATTACGCCCACCATGCTTGCCTCCGAAGCAGGGGATTGGCGTTAAGCCCGCACTCTTCCTTCTTAAAGCTCTTAATGGAAAAGGCCTCGGATGCCTGAACGACCTCACCCATCAGGCCTGGGCTTAAGATGATCGGAGGCCAAGTCATTATTTACTGTTTCAAAGACCTCGCCATTCTTCCATGGGTAAGATTGCATGCCTTGTGCCCCTGTTCCCTGCTGCATAAATGCAGCCCCGTTTTATTCTTATTATTTTCTGGTCCTGTCGGCGTCATTTGCAGCGGAAAAGAGAAAGCGTTGGGGGAGAAACAGATTGGATGAATGGCCCACAAATATGGGGGAAACTCCAGTTCTGGTCTCTAGGTGGCTATGGAGTTCCTGGGTTTGGGTTAACTTCTGAATCACAGGCCTCCCCTCCTATCTTACAAAAAAAAAAAAAACACCAAGTTTGTGGCTTTATTTAAGACTTCAGGCATACTCATTTGTCCTTTTTCCCTTCTTCCTGCCTCTTAATATATATATATTCTTTCCATTACAGTCTTCGACTTACGACCACAATTAAGCTCAAAATTTCCATTGCTAAGGGAGACGGTTGCTAAGT